CTGTAGTTAATGTGTTATAGGTTGTGAAACTGTATTGAGTAAAAAAAAATCTTTCGAATAAAAATATCTTTCGCTTGACATTAGGAATTAATCATTTGTGATACAAAATGATTTACTATGGCAAGTGTTAAATTGAACAGTGTTAGATTCAAGGGGGAACCCAGTCAGCACAGGCCCCCAACCTCCTAATTTTTTTCAAAATAAAAAAAAAAATGGAGAAAACGGACAAAATTGTATTTAACTAATTAATCTCATAATGCCACTTCTGGCAATCTGGAGATGCCATAATCAAACTTTTTTCTTACTTCAGCCCCCAAGTTGTAGGGATGAGGTGGGTGGACATTCTATTTGCGCAAAACCCTCCCTGAGTCCCCTCTATTTCGACTTCCTGGACCCGCCACAGTTGGAGTATCATATCCGGGCTACATAGAAGGGTACTTTTTATCCATCGGGGGAAGTTTGCGTCGAGGAACCCATAACAAGGATAACCCTCATGATAAATAAGTCATTGCGATCGTGGAAGCAATCTTGACTTCGACTTTGTTCAGAAATCTGTGGCGCATTCAAGGGCAGGGTGGGGGCTAATTTGTTCATTTTTTTTAAATGGAGATATAAGGAAAATTATATTCAAATTTTAAGTTTGAGAGTGTAATTTCCCGCCATTTAGAGGTGCCATAATCACAAATTTTCTTACCTCAGCCCAAACCACGGAGGGGCTGAAGTGGTATAGATCCTCCATCTGCTAAGTACCAAGTGCAGAATCTAAGGGGACCCAGCCGGCCACCCACCTCCAAATAAAAAAAAAAAAAATGGAGATTTATAAAGAAAATTATATTCAAATTTTATGTCTGGAAGTGCAATTTCCGGTCATGAGGTTCCATAATCAAATTGTCTTACCGCAGCCCGAACCATGGTGGGGCTGAGGTAGTATAATCAGGGGTGGCGCCAGGAATTGCCGCAAGGATTTGCCCGACGGGGGTGGGGGGGCGATGTGAAAGAAAGTGGTCCAGGGGGCGAACCCCCCAAAATTTTGAAAATTTAGGAATTACAAAAGCTTATTTAATAGACTAGTACACTAATATGCAGAAAATACATGTAATTTTGTTTTCTCCCCGACGAATTGTGCTTTTTCTCCCCGACGGTTGGGTGGGGGGGGGGCAAGCTCTCCCCGATAGGGGCCCTAGCCCTCCGCCGGGGCCACCCCTGGTATAGATATTTTATATATGAAGTACCCTCCCTGGGCCCTTCAATTCTATTCACTCATAAGTTTTTACAAATCTACAGTTAGGAGTAGATTTGATAGCAATTAGTATTTTCTATTACTAATAAACATATGGATTGGAATATAAAAAAATGATATTAACAAGAAAAATGTTTATAAATAATGATTAAATGTACTTCGGTCATTGTTGATTACTTTTGTAATCAATGGCGAAGTTTGGGGTAGTGGTTAGCATTTAGGTTCACAACTCATGATTTATTAGATGGATTTGCACGATGTTGGTATATCAACATGTAGCCTGTAGATTTTTCCAGCCATTCAAATTGAAAACGTGTGCAGAAATTGACGTATATGAATATCAAAAGATCGCTGATTCTGCAAATTCTTCCCAAAAACCATAGCAGATATTCTTTATGACAATATAATGGAAATATATAGAGTGGTAAAAGTTATGTTACAAGTTTCCCACACTTAAAATAAACGAGCGGTACTGGATAAAAACAACTTGGTTTCTCGCTTCAAACAAGGTATCCATTCGTAGAATTAATCCTATCCAAGTGAACATAAAAGGGTCGGGGACCAGGACGTACATTCGACTTTAGATTGCCAAAAAGTCTAGAGTCCATTTAGAATATGTAATTATATATATATATATATCAAAACATATACATATAGCCTACGTCAAACATACGAATATAGCGTAAACCGTTTGGCCCTACTATTTGATGTATTTTTATCTTATCCGATGATGATTGCTGCCTACAGTGACGAAAATAAAAATATATCGACTTTTCTGCTCAATAATTCCAATCTTAAAAATAATACATTTTGACGAAAACAGTGTCTGCGCATGCGTTTCCTTCGATGGCTCGATCTGCCCCGCGAAAAATTGAAATCCAGTTGAGCGTTTTGGGCCTAGGTAGGCCTAGGCCTGCTATTGTGTAAGTGTGCTACTTTGTTTATTTTATTAATAAGGAACTATTGAAAGCCTAGTGAATTAATTAACTTATTTACTGTAGCATAAAAAAATAATTAAAAAGCTTTTATTGAATCGATTTTGTAGCATTCTTAGCCTAGGACGGTGACCTAGGCTAGCTAGGCCTAAAATAAGGCTTACGCTAGCGCGGCTAGGCTTAGTTTACTAGGCTACCCTAGTCCTACTAGGCCTAGGCCTGCCTCTAGGGCATGGCTAGGCTTAATGCCTAATAGTAGGATAGGCATATCAAGCCTTTGGCCAGGCCTATTTAGTACTAGCACATCAGTTACTTCACCCACCGCCCGGTGTGGTGCATCAAAATTATGTTGAGGTTGTTATATCAAAACAAGATTTATTTTCGTTTAGGCCTAGTATGGCCCAGGCTAGGCTAACTAGCCTATGCCTAGCTAAATTAAGCATGGATAAATTTCCAACAGTGACCATCAACCATCATAGGGCTAGCTTTTTATAGGCTAGTTAGTTAGCTAGGCTCCCGGCTGGGCTAGCATGCCATAACATCTTGAATGTTCACTCCAAAGTAAAGTCCAGTGTGAATAAAATATGGGTAGTGATTAAAAAGTCACTGGTTGTGTTTTATGCCTATATGGAACGCCAAAAGGACAAATTACAAGTAGAGCAGGAGCCCAGGGGTGTCAGCATAGCTGGAAAGTTAATCAATTATTGTGTACTGTATAGTAATGTTCTATGTGCCTGTCTAGGTAGGAGAATGGGCATCTGCCGGTCCCATTGTGGTGGCCTGCTATTGTGTAAGTGTGTTACTTTGTTTATTTTATTAATAAGGAACCATTGAAAGCCTAGTGAGTTAATTAACTACTTTACTGTAGCATAAAATCAATAATTAAAAAGCTTTTATTGAATCGATTTTGTTGCATTCTTAGCCTAGGACGGTGACCTAGGCTAGCTGGTAGCCGATCATTTCGGTCGCGCTTCGTTTCGGTCGCGCTTTGTTTCGGTCGCGTTTCGTTTCGGTCGCGGTTTATTTCGAACAAATATATGGAGCGCCGAAGGAGTTGCGAAAACGAAAAATTTAATATGCTTAGGCCCTATATATTTTAGTTCGTGAATCGGTTTATCATAGGCCTTTGTATTATTGTTTTGCTATCTTTCCAATAACAAAATATCTTTCTACTATATTGTCTTTCTTCCATTTACGGTGATATATTCATGATTGCAACATGATCTTGTAATTGAAACAATGGAATTTAGTATGTGCTTCATGCTATTCTTTTTGTTGCGTTTTCATACACTATACTTTAATAATTATGGTAAATAAAATGTATCTTTGATTTTAATTGAATTGAATATTGTTAAGCATCTGAAATCTATTTCATAATTTAGTTAAAACAATAATCATTCAATATTTAATCTGATCTTTTTATACAATAAATATATTTATTTTTCTTGCAGCTTCCAGAGTTTGGATAAAACTTACCAAGAGAATTGAAGGAAACACGAAGAAATAAAATTAATAATACCCCTGCGCAGTTCATAAATATGAATATATATGATTTTATCATATTGGATATACATAAAAACCACTATATATAATATATATATAAATATATATACATATATACATATATACGTACATATATACATATATATATATACGTATATATATACATATATATATATACGTATATATATACATATATATATATATATATATATATACATACGTATATATATACAGTAGTTGCATCAGTGGGTTTTGTTGTTTCGTTTTGATGAACATCAACTGGTATAGTGGGAGCATCAGTAGCAACTGTTTTATCTTCATGAACTGGAGTAACAGGTACATTGGATGCCTCTGGTGTTTTCTCTTTATGCCTAAATAAGGCTTACGCTAGCGCGGCTAGGCTTAGTTTACTAGGCTACCCTAGTCCTACTAGGCCTATGCCTCTAGGGCATGGCTAGGCTTAATGCCTTAGTAGGATAGGCATATCAAGCCTTTGGCCAGGCCTATTTAGTACTAGCACATCAGTTACTTCACCCACCGCCCGGTGTGGTGCATCAAAAGTATGTTGAGGTTGTTATATCAAAACAAGATTTATTTTCGTTTAGTAGGCCTAGGCTAGGCTAACTAGCCTAAGCCTAGCTAAATTAAGCATGGATAAATTTCCAACAGTGACCATCAACCATCAAAGGGCTAGCTTTTTATAGGCTAGTTAGTTAGCTAGGCTCCCGGTAAGGCTAGCATGCCATAACATCTTGAATGTTCACTCCAAAGTAAAGTCCAGTGTGAATAAAATATGGGTAGTGATTAAAAAGTCACTGTTGTGTTTTATGGAACGCCAAAAGGACAAATTACAAGTGGCGCAGTACAAAAGTCAAGTGGCAGTGCAAAACTAAAGTGGCACAGTGCAAAACTAAAGTGGCGCAGTGCAAAACGAAAGTGGCGCAGTGCAAATCCAAATGCGTGTGCTGCTACTTGAATTTTGCACTGAGCCACTTTAGTTTTGGTCTCTTATACACATCT